TCCGAGGCTGTAAATCTTTACGGGAGCAGAAAGCCTCATCTTTCTCCTGCGGAACAGCTGGTAGTTTCGAACTGCTGACCTTGAGGTTAGCAGCCCGATTCATAACCACTACGCAACCAGAGCTTCTATTTATAACATATATATATCCCTAAAACAATTATTTTAAAATATTTTAATTGGACAATGTAGTGCATTAGGCATATCTGCTGCAAAAGATATCTTCAAACTGTTAACAAAACAAAACAAAGACATCATTTGGAAGACTAAAGTGTGCTTGACCCGAACCATACTATTTTCAATCATGCCAGCAAAAGCTGGATAATGAATAAGGAAGATTGAAGAAGAAAGGATGCATTGAGTTATGGTTTTAGTGACGAATACTGAATGTACCTTGGACCAGGAGAATGAACAAATCTGTCTTGGAAGAAATGATGGTGAGATTTCGTCTACTATATGGTGGACATGCTATCAGGAGGAGCCAGTCCCTGGAGGACAATACACTCGGTAGAGGGTCAGCGAAAAAGAGAGTAAACCCTTCAAAGAACGGGATTGACACACTGTCTGCGACAGTGGGCTCAGCGTGGTAATGAATGTTGATCAAGATGCGCTGCAGAGTCAGGCAGTGTTTTGTTCATATTGTACATGGATCATTGTGGGTTGGAAGCTCATTGATGGCACTAACGACAAAAACTTGTAGTTTGCAATTTTGAACTTTATAAAATGGAATAAGTCTGTATTTTGTGACTTGCTTTTTCATTTAACACCATACACTTGAAACTGTTAGCACTAAATGCCTTTTTATTCTTTTTTTTTTTTTTTGTTTGCTTTTACAAACATGGCAGTTATGAACATTCATATACAGGTCTTCTGATAAAACATGTACGTCAAAGATATGTGTACTTTAAGTTTTAGTTGTTGCTAAGTGCCATCGCGTCGGTTGCGACCATTTATAGGGTTTCCGAGGAGCAGCCGACCTTGCGGTTCAAACAGCTTTGCAGTCTGGCGCCTTAACCCACAGCGCCACACCAGGTACCAGGTAGTGCCAAATTATTTTCCAAATTGGTTGTACCAGCTTGCACTCCTTCCAACAGGACATGGGAGCTCTAGTTGCTCCACGTTGTCACCAACACTTGAAGACTTCATAATTTTGGTCAATCTGGTGGATGTAAAATGGGTCTCATTACATTTCCTTGGTTATTAATGTCGTTAAGAAACTTTTCATTGTTAATGGCACGTGCGTGTTTTTTTGTTTTGTGAAGTGCCTTTGGCCCGTTTTCCAATTTGTTTGCCTTTTTCTTATTGATTAGTGGTAGTTCGTCAATATATTCGGTACGAGTGAATGACCGAATAGCAGGAAAGGCTCAAAATGAAATGAGATGAGTTTTGGAAATCACCAGTAGCTAATCTTAATAACTGTCTACTCTCGCAGACTTCTTAGTTGATCCTCATTAGAGTCTCAAGAAAGAAATTTATAATCTCAATACCAAGACGAGCTTTTATGAGATCTACGGTTTACCCGCGGGAGCGATGTAGCCACGTAGTCTCCGGGTCCTTCCCAGTTACCCAATAACCACGGTGAACCAATAGCTGATCTCCTGCTGTTGTTACGCAAAAAAAAAATCTCATCGCGGATCGTAGAGTTCTCACGAGAGTTGGCTCCAGCAGATCATGTGATAACTCAAGATGGCGGCGCCCATTGAGGCGGAGGAGGGGGTAGAATTTTACTTGGTAGTGAGCGGTATTCCTTCGGAGTTACGTTCAGCCCACCTACGAAGCTACTTTAGCCAGTTTCGGGAACAGCGCGGTGGAGGCTTCCTTTGTTTCCACTATCGGCATCGGCCTGAGCGGGCCACTTCTCAGGCTGCTCCCGACTCTGCCCTAGCTCCCATCGATCCTGCAGCTGAGGGCCAGGATCTCGCTCAGACTTCAACAGCCAGTGCCCGTGCTCAGTCTTTCCGGGACTCATCTCCTGCCCAGACCCGCACCTGCTGCTGCGTCATTTCGGTACGGGGGGCGGCTCAGGCCCAGAGACTTCTTCGCATGTACTCAGGCCGTCAGTGGCTGGATTCTCAAGGAACTTTGCTGCCTGGTCGCTGTTTGATCCGTAGACTTAGGCTACCTACCGAGACATCAGGTATGAATGGGAAAGACAATAGACGGGGCCAACTGCTCCTAGAATAGAAGCACCTTTAGCGGGAGGGATGTGTACGATACAGATAAACCACGCTATCTGGTTCCGATTCATCAGGCCATTTGCATTTCTGGAATGAGCTTCAAGCCCAATTTGCACTTTAGTGTAACAGTAAATTGTTAGTAGTCATAACCAGTCTTAATTTCGGGTGGTTTAAATGCGAATCAACATTAGCCCAAAGTGGATCCCTTTGAGGTGGAAGTAAGGCATATATTCTGTCTCTAACGAAAATTTTAACAGTTCTTCCCATAGCACACTCTGGTGTGGTACTGCAGGATAAACACTGGACGCAAGCTAGGTGGTTCAAACTCACTGGCTGCTCTTCAGAAACCCTCTACAGTTGGAACCTGCTCAACAGCACACTCTATTCGTCTTCTGGGTTCTATACTCTGTTACAATGGCCACACAGAACTCACACCAGACTTAAAGTTAAATGTTTTATGAGAAAGTCACAGGGTACAGCATGGAATTAGTATCAACAGGCTAAAACTGAGAAACAGGAAGCATACAGGCAAGGCCTGGAATGCTCCCAACATTCCTCCCTTCTTCAGTGCAATGCTGTTTTCTCAGCTCCTCTGAGAAGTGCAAGCAAGCAGGCCTTTCTGCAGGACAGGCTTCTCTGCCTTCAACTGTCTCCTATCACCCCACTTTGTACCATCACCACAGTTTCCAGAATCACAGCAACACACTAGCCACCACTCACCTCTCAGTTTGTCATACTGTGGTGGCTTGCATGTTTTTGTGATTCTGGAAGCTATTCCATGAGTATTTTAAATCCCAGAAGGGTCACGCACGATGAACAGGTTTCAGCTGAGCTTCCAGACACAGACAGACTAGACAGAAGGAGAGATGGACTACTTCTGAATATTTAGTCACTGAAAACCTTGTGAATAGCAGTGGAACACTGTCAGCACCAGAATATTGAATACTGAGACATGATGAAGAACACCAGAATATTGTCAGATATAGTGCTAGAAGATGAGCCCCTCAGGTTGGAAGGCAGTCAAAATACACCTGGGGAAGAGCTGCCTCAAAGTAGAGTTGACCGTGATGATGCAAATGGAGTAAAGCCCTTAGGACCTTCATTTGCTGATGGGGCACAACTCAAAATGAAAAGAAACAATTGTAAACATCCATTAATAACTGGAACATGTAATGTATGAAATATGAATTGATGAAAATTGGAAATTGTCAAAAATGAAATGGAACACAAAAACATTGATATCCTAGGCATTATTAGTGAGTTGAAATGGACTGGTTTGGCCATTTTGAATCTGAGAATCACATGGTTTACTATGTTGGGAATGATAAATTTAAGAGGAATGGCATCGTGTTCATCATCAAAAAGAACATATCAAGATCTGTCGTGAAGTACAATACTGTCTGTAATAGGATAACATCCATACGCCTGCAGTGAAGAACAGTTAATAACATTATCATTCAAGTTTATGCACCAACCACTAAAGCCAGTAATGATGAAATTGAAGAATTCTACCAACTTCTTCAGTCTGAAATTGGTAAAAACATGCATTCAAGACATACTGCAAATAACTGATGATTGGAATGCAAAGGAAACAAAGGAGAAGGATCAGTAATTGGAAAATATGGCCTTGGTGATAGATGTGATGCTGGAGATCACATGATAGAATTTTGCAAGACAAGGGAACACCAAATAGTTTCAAATTAGGAAAGATATGCACCAGGGTAGTATTCTTTCACCATACTTATTCAATCTGTATGCTGAGCACATAATCCAAGAAATTGGATTATATGAAGAAAAATGTGGCATTAGGATTGGAGGAAGATTCATTAATAACCTGTGATATGCAGATGATAACAACCTTGCTTGCTGAAAGTGAAGAGGACTTAAAACACTGATAAATATCAAAGACCACAGCCTTCAGTATGGATTACATCTCAATATAAAGAAGACAAAAATCCTCACCACTGGACCAATAAACAACATCCATATAAATGGAGAAAGGATTGAAGTTGGCAAAAACAATTTTACTCAGATCAACCATCAACACTCATGGAAGCAGCAGTCAAGAAATCAAACGACGTATTGCATTGGGCAAATCTGCTGCACATGACCTCTTAAAGTGTTGAAGAGCAAAGATGTCATTTTGAGGACTAAGGTGCGCCTGACTCAAGCCATGGTATTTTCAATTACCCCATATGCATGTGGAAAGTTGGACAGTGAGTAAGGAAGACTGTAGAATTGATGCATTTGAGTTATGGTATTGTAGGAGAATATTGAGAGTATTATGTACTGCCAAAAGAACAAACATATCTGTGTTGGAAGAAGTATAGCCATAGTGTTCCTTGGAAACAAGGATGGCCAGACTTTGTCTCTCAGACGTTGGACATACTGTCAGGAGGGACCAATCCCTGGAGAAGGATATCGTGTTTGGTAAAGTGGAGGAATGGAGAACAAGAGGAAGACCCACAATGAAATGAATTGGCACAATGGCAACAGCAGTGGTCTCAGGCATAGCAACGATTAGGAGGTTGGCCCAAGATTGGACAATTCCGTTCTGTTGTACATAGAGTCACTATGAGACAGTACTGACTCAGTGACACCTAACAACATGCATGCCCCCTCTCCTCCATTCAGGGAGCACTTGGCCCCACAGGACAGGCCTTTCTGCCTTCAACCTTTATACCATTACTACTAGCTCTGACTTTGGGCCCTTTCCAGGCCTCTTGTCCTTATTGCTAGTCTTTGACCTTTGTTACAGATTTTTTAGGAGATTCTTTACCTGCTCTCTGCTGCTTCTCTATTTTTTTTGCCTCTCTTGCCTTTTTTCTGCTTCCTTCATTTTCTAACTGTGAGTTGGCTGCATATATGACAGGGCTTCACAAAGTTTATGGGAAAATTCCATTATCTTTCAGTTCCATTTTTTTCTTGAACTTTTTTTTTGGAAGGGGAGGATTCCTCTCACATCTGTTATAACAAATACTTAATTGTGCATTGAGTAGAGGTTTATAGAGCAGATCATCAGTTTTACACTCAATAAATCATGTACTTCGTTTCATTTCAGTGATTGCAATCTCCTCTCTGTAACATCGGTTATCCCATTTCCTCCAGGTGATTCTTGTTTTCATTTCACCTTCTTTCCCAGCCTTTCTGAATTTTGTCCTTAGGTAAATCCTGCTCTGTTGATCTTGAATGGTTGACCATTCCATGGTGTGCATACTTCACCAATGTTGTCTCCCCTACATACCTACCTGCTGCTTGGCTGAAAATCAGCCATGAGGGTGAATTCAGTTACAGACACTTTTTGAACTTTCAAAGCCTCTCTCTTAGAAGCTAACTCCTGGTCAATTTCAAGGCATGTCCCTCTCAGGGTCAGGAACTGACCAGTCAGTCACCTTTTGGTAAACTGTAGATACTTCATTTGAGTAATGGACTATAATCAGTCACTTCATTTGCCTAAGTATACAGACTGATTCCTGCAAAGTGCATAAAATAGACCAGTCACAGGGCAGGCTGTAACCCAGAGCCAGACAAAAAGTATCAAACCACAACAGCTTACCCAGGAAATGTGAATCAACCTGGACAAAAGTACCAAACCCTCTGTGGTAGAAAAGTGGGTGGAAGGTTGTTGTTAGGTGCCGGTGAGTCCGTTTTGACTCATAGCGACCCCATACACAACAGAACAAAATACACTGCCTGGTCGGTCCTGTGCCATCCTCATAGGTATTGTTAGGTGTGAACCCAGTGCTGCTGCCATTGTGTCAATCTGTCTCCTTGGTGGGGTCGTCCTCTTTTTTTTACTGACCCTTCAACTTTAGCTAGTCCCTCCTGGTAATGTGTCTGGAGTCGCTCCATCCTGGCTTCTAAGGAGCATTCTGGCTGTACTTCTTCCAACACAGATTTGTTTGGTCTTCTGGCAGTCAAAATATTCTCCAACATCATAATTTAAATGCATCAACACTTCTACTGTCTTCATTACTCACTGTCCAGCTTTCACATGCATATGAAGTTATTGAAAAATACCATGGCTTGGGTCAGGCACATCTTAATCCTCAAATTGACATCTTTGCTCTTGAATACTTTAAAAAGGTCTTGTGCAATAGATTTGCCTAATGCAGTATGTGGTTTGATTTCTTACCTGCTGCTTCCATGAGTGTTGATTGTGGATACAGGATCTCAAGGGGAAAATCTGATTTTCCAAAGACCCAAGGCAAAAAGGCCACAAAAAGGAACCCATTTCACCACAGTATTTCAGTGGGAAAAAGAGAGAGGCTTATTCAGATGATCTTCTGTTTTTTAATTTACTGAGTTATTTGCATAAACACAGCTGTGAAATCCCATTAAACTTTTAGGATACATGAAATCATTCAGTGTAGCTGTAGAATATGATATGGGGGTAATGAGAGGGTGACAGTTGAGGCATGAAAGATCAGCAGGAACCAAACCTGGAAAAACTTGTGTGTTTGTCCAAAATGATGAGAAAGAGTGAAATTTCCAGATGGATTTGACCAAGGAGGGGTCAAGGGGACTCTGGAAAGTTGGAAAGAGAAGAACAGCATTAGGTTAAAGGACCAATTTCTGGCCCAGGTGTTGCTGGAGGCTTCTGGATTTTAAGGTCTGTTCTCCTTCCTTCCCAAGGTTTGGGCTCTTTTCCATTCAGGACCCGGAAGGAGCTGCAGAGTTGGAAGGCCAAGAATGAAGTTTTCACCCTAGCTGACCTGAAACAACTGCCAGAGCTCAACCCACCAGCGCTGATGCCCAATGGGAATGTGGGGACTCCCCTGCAGGTCTTTTTGGAGTTCATTCGGGCCTGCCGTCTGCCCCCCCGGATCATCACCCAGTTGCAGCTCCAGTTCCCCAAGACAGGTTCCTCTCGGCGTTATGGCAATGTGCCTTTCCAGTATGAGGACTCAGAGACTGTGGAGCAAGAAGAGCTTGTGTACACTGCTGAAGGCGAGGAAATACCCCAGGGAGCTTGCCTCATAGATACACCAGCTAGCCCTTGTGGAGAGCCACAGGAAGAAGGGCAAAAGGAGGAGGAAGAGTCGCACTCAGATGATGTGAGTACAGTGAGCCACTTACCCTGGCCGGCAGCTTGGAAAGGCCAGAGCGTTAAGAATAGCACTCATCATTTGATTTCCTGGGGCCCTCAGGAAGGTTCCCTGACATTGAGTGTAAAGCTACATTTGCTGTACATACATATATTTCTTTATGGAGAGAGTCCCCAGAGCATTTGTCAGAAGATTCTCAAAGGGGTCCTTTGTTCATTCTTTCAGAAGCAATGTGAAGAGGGTCCCTTTTCATAAATGAAAACCTGTTAACTAAAATATGTGTACTGATTTGCCTAAGACCATCTAAGGAAGTAGAGTAGGGCTGCGATGTAAACTTTGACTTCTCTAACCCTTGTGTGCGTTCATCATGTAATTGAGAACTCACTTCTGTTTTCTGACCTTGAGTCTATGGTTAAAGCATCCACTCTAACCTTTTTATCAATGAAATAGACATTTCTTCTACCTCTATCTCTAAACTTGGTTGTCCATTTACAAATAGGTGAGCTTTGATTTGTTGGGGAAACTTTTTTTTTTTAAAGTAGTTCATCTCTATCTTCAAAGCCCAAGATTGCTCACACATTTGGACGACATCCTTAGTGTGGTATAGTCTTGACTTTTTGCCAGCACCTGGTTTGCGGTCATGATTTCGAGGTCACTTAGGAATTTTATTTTTAAAAACTTTTTTATTGTGAATTGAGTAAAGGTTCACAAGTAGATCATCAGTTTTACATTCAACAAATTATATACTTTGCTTTATTACATGGTTACAATTCCCTCCACACACCAACAGTTAATGGCATTTACCTCTCTTCACTTTCACTATTGCATTCCTCCCTGGTCTCACACTACCTCAATCTTTCCTCTGCTAACCTCTCTTGTATACTGCCCCCACTGTCACCGATGTTAATATGTTAATGAGTCCATGAATAATTTTCCCTCCTGCCCCAACCATCATAGATTATTTCTTAGTTCTACATAATTTTCTATGCTAAGTTCATTATGTTTGTAGGTTTTCTTTTCATTTCTGTTGTGTTAATGTTTACTAAATCTTTCTGATTTTCCTCTTTTTAAAATTGTGATGTGCAGATGTATTATTTTTCTTTGAGGTTGCCCTATAATTTATTAATTTTTTTCCCTGCTTAAAACAGGTTTTTTTTGTTGTTGTTACTGTTGTTTTAAAACTGTTTTATCTTGAAATCTACATGGCTTCCTTGCCATTTGAAAGTTCTGTATCTACACTATTCCCTCCTTTAGCTTTGTAGTTGACTTCATTACACTTTGATATCTCTGGTTTCCTATTTTCAGTCTTGTAGTTTTGCTTTAATTGAAATACTTCTGTATCTGGATTGATTTCTGGTTATCGTTGTCATGTATGGTAACCTCCGATTGTTGTCTGCTCTTACTGGTTCTCAGTCCAAAGAAACCCTTTAGCATTTTTTGTAAAGTTGGTCTGGTCATTACAAATTTCTTTAGTCTCTGTTTATCAGGAATTGTCCTAATTTTGCCATTTTATTTGAGAGACAGCTTTGCTGATTATACGATTCTTGGCCGGCAATTTTTTTCTTTCAGAGTTCTGTATATATCATCCTTTTTTTAAAAAATGTTTTATTGTGAATTATATGATAGTTTACATGGGAGAACATTAGTTTTACATTCATACTATCGTATATCGTTTCATTGCCATGGTTACAATCCCCTCCGTGCATCATCAACCAACCAAAGGGTATACTCTGCAAGCCTGCCCCCGGTTGTCAACACAGTCCCTCTCCCTCTCTGGATCACAAGTCCCCAGCTGCTCCATCTCTCCATGTCATAATCTCTGCCTCCATCTCAGGTATCACTGCTTCTCTGGGTAGGGTCCCACT